AATTTGAAGATCACTTTAGTGAGAAAATTGTTCAACTGTCTTGACTGTTTATGCTTGTCTTGTTGTTTAAATATAAGAGCTACATACATGCGATCATTCTATTGTTTTCTGTCCATTTCAAACAACGTGAACTGGCCATTTAACTTTTTTCCTTGTATCTTTTTACCCTTAAGTTTTATATTTAGAAGAACATTGGAGAAAAACCTCAACCATGCTAAATCTCTTACAGTTGTTTGCCTTCTGATTTGGAGGGTGCAGTCCGCCAGTCAGGCCAAGCAAGTGCTACATTTGTGTCTTCAGGAGGAATGAGAGCAATAGTATGTTCTCAACTTGTTTTACAATAGTCTGTTATGGATGATATTGTAATCTGTGTGACATTTTTATCTTAATTGTAAGAGAGATCTATTCATTTCATGCTTGGACTGAATTTATGTTTCTCCTGTTGCTCAAAACTAAAGAAGCTAGCCATTCTTCTTATAAGATCTAGACATCCTAAGGCATTTGAGTCTCATTACAATCTCACAGAAGTCCAATCCCGATACACAAGTGCATGCATGTTTGCCATAGCTTGTGCGTAGCTCCTCCTGAACAGACTTCAAAAATGCACTTTATGCCTAATTAGACTTACATACTTGTTAAATGCTAATTATTTAAGTAGATCACCTTCCAAACTGAAAAGTAAAAGAAAATATACATCAAAAAACAACTGAAGAAGAAGCAACTTACATAGTAGTTCTGTCCCTAATAGACTTGTCTATGGTGGAGTATGCCCCTTTATGAAATAGATACTAAATTCTGCTGCATGGCTAGAATTTGTAACTTGTAATGGAGCAAGCTTACTATTGAGTTTGAACTTGGCTGTTTACATTTCATCTTGCTCTATCTTACTTGGGGCTCTTGTTTCTCTTTTATGCTTGGCAACCTGGTTGTTAGAAACACATGGAAGTGTGCTGTTGCAAATTGTCAGTTGAGTTTCCATACTTTGACTTTTTTCATCCATTTTTCCTCTCAGGTTGAGTTCTTAATCCCACAGCTGCAGTTTCTTGATGATGAGGGTGCTCAAGCTGAGCTCTGGGAACTCTCAAGGTTATTTTTGGATACACTAATTGAAGAAACAGGATGTCAGGTTCTCTGCAAAGCTGTTTAAATATTTAATGTCATTTTCTATATGTTTTTATGCATAGGTGTAACTTCTTCAAAAAACTGGTTTCCATGCACTCAATGTTCAATGGGTGTTTCTCTTTCTTTAGCTTCATATCAGTAATGTGGGTATTGATTTAGTCATTTTATTTTTGTGTGCTTTAAAAGAAAATATTATCTCTGTGTATCATCAACTGTTAAGACTAAGGCTTTTATTGTCAGAAAGTTAAAGCCATATTTCCAGATGCTGGAGCTACAGCACTTCTTAAATATCGGTGGAAAGATGCTGCTTTTGGCTTCTCCAGGTAGAGTCCATGAACCACGTGAAGTTTATAGAGATAATGCTTGAAATAACTCCCAAAAGTCATCCACACTTTATGTTTCATTTTCCTGTTAAAAAAATTGCAAATGATTCAAGGATAATTTTTCAATGCATTAACTTGCCGACTGGTATGATAAGAAATCTCTTTATAAAGTTGCTAAAAAGTGTCTATAATTCAAGGATGAAGATGTTCCTTTACAAAGAAAATTGGAGCTTTTACTTTATGGAATTGATTCAGGACCAATTGCATATCCTAGTAATGCATTACTTGTACACTAGAAGAACATATAGAGCACTATTTTTCCAGTTTTCAACTCCCTGTTTATCAGGCTAACTCTCATGCTTTGTCTCTGTCTTCTACCTGTATAGCTTGGGTGACCGGAAGCCCGTAACAAGAGATGATGAAATTGTTGTAATGGTAGTACCTGATTATCAGATGTTGGAATATGTTGAAAGAATTGCATCTGAACTATCAGATGATCCGGTACTTAATTTTATACAGTTTTAAGTACTCATGCATCTTACATATTGATCTTGTTCAGATGATGCACAACTTCTCCTTTTCCCACATAACTGACCACGTCATGCATATGCTCAAGACATAACTGGCTTAAGTTTTTAGGCTGGTAAGACTGAGCTTATCTGATAGGTTCTTTGATGATAACTCTACTTCCCTCCCTAGAAATTTTAGAAGTGGATGGTTAATTAATCTTCTGATTCAAGTTATAATTCTTGAAGCAATAGCATGAATTTACTGAAATGACGAAAACCCTTGAAATTTTGGCGGAAAATGTCTCATTTTCAGGTCGCAAGTGCAACAAATATCAACTTCTGTAGCTACTAGCTACAATTTATAATACAGTGTAATTAACCACATACACTATTTCTAAAAAAATACTAATAATAACAAAAAAATTACATGCAGCAATATGCAGCTTGCGACTGTAGGGCACAATCTTTTCGAAGCTAATATCTGGGTGGGGAATATGAAATAGAAGTCCATTGAATATCTGTTTTTCTCCTGTTTCATAAAATTTGCTTTTAGTTATGGCTAGAAACAGTTTGGTGTTCTATATCACTGTTTATTTGACTTCATAAATGTGCCATTCTTGTGCTACCTCTCGGCTATGATTTGCTAATGTCATATCAAATAAAACCCAAGCTTAGAATCCTTCCTCTAGAGATCTGGATTTTCTCAGTCATGCACTACCATGAAAAAAGTGATTTCTTCCAAACAGTGTAGCTACATTTACTGTTTCTTAAGAGAATGTTGCATTGTGCTTATATAAATGAGCTGACTAACGTAAACACTAGCACAGGTTATTATCAAAACTGTCTCTATAACAAATCATGATTTGGGAGGTATGTGATGACCTAAGAAATGTTTTATGGCACACAGAAATTGATGGATAAAGCATTAGATTCTTAGTTTTCCTCCTCTTCATTCATTTTCCCCATCTTTCTTTTCTTAAATGGACACTGAATAATTGTCCTCCTTCTCCACTTGTCTTTTGTATCCTAGAATGGAGGAAGACTGTGGGAAAAGATTTTTTGTAGGTATCTGTATATTCTAAAAGATGTGCAATAAGGCATTTTGCTTGCATCAAAAGAATGATTCTGTCATACTCTGCATCAACACATATGCTAATCCACCATGTTATGACATGGAGAATTTGCTTTATAAATGAGCATTTCCTTACAGTAGTTTTTACTTTACTCTTAGCCTAGGCCTCTTCTCATGTGGAATCCACGTCTTGTAAGTGAGGATGTCGGTGTTGGGATCAATGTTCGGAGATTAAGGAGGAACTTTTTAAGGTACTTTTGAAGAAATTTCTGCTGAATTGCTTCTCAAGTTGTTTGTTTTTTATTCTTTTGAATGACTACAATGGTGTAGCTAGGGCAACATCCTGAAATTTGTTCCCTGTATTCAACTTGTCATAAACAATAATCTTATTGTATATCTTAATCTAAACTTTAGAAATGAGTCTTATTCCACTTACTTCGGTGATTATAAGATTAAATTTACAACCATTTGACATAATCTGCTGTCTAGCTATTCAATCTCAGTTATAGCTGAATATAACCCATCGCACCAATCAAACTTCACTCTAGTTTACTTTGTCTTTTGCTTTTTCCATATTGAAAACTTACTGGCTCCTCACATCCATTTTGGACACACTAGCACTTGTTAAATTTCACGTGTTTCTCATATATAACTTTAGCTTCATTTTAAGTGCCTGAAAATGTTTGTTTGCTCATATTTTATTTGATTGTTTTGATTCCTAGTCTTGTGCTAACCATTTTGTTGCTAACTGTTTGACATTGCAGTACTTTTACGGTGGTTTACTCAATGCGACCATTTCCATTAGGTGCTGTATTTAGATGTTACCCAGGGTAAGCCCTTAATCTTCTACAAAGGTGGATTGGGATTCTGATGTTTGTGCTCACCAATAGCTGTCAAGTATCTATTGCCCTTTTGATGCAATAAATATTCCAATCTCCAAATGGAGTAATGAGCTCTATCTCATTATGGAGAAATTCAATTTGTCTTCCTGTCCCTCATTTTAATGGAACACTTCCATTCTCTATTCTTCATCATGAACATCTTGAAAGATTGGCTATTGAAGTCCCAACATTCCTCTGAGGAACCTAATTAAGACAGCGTAGTTAGTTGTTGAATCCTGAGTGTTCTTATTAGTGCCATCTAGTTTTGATAGAGTACACGCAGAATGGAAAAGGAAAACAAAAAAAGTGTTAGACAAGAGGGGAAGATGACAAAATCCTCCTATTTAATTAGCTGCTTATCGAAATTCATTGTGGTACACTATAAGACCATCTTGAGTAACCCCTCCCTTGTCTTTGCTTTTTGCTGCTTCGTACAGGTTATGGAAAGTGTTTTATGATGACAAGGACAGGCCTAATCGGTATCTCCTGGCCAAGGAGTTGATAAGCCGTCCTGATGCCGAAGAACTTGAGGTCAGTGTCTCCCTGAAGAACAGAGTTGAAATAAATGCACCAGGGTTCAAGTTTGGTTCTGCTTTCTGCAGAATTACTAGTAATTTAATTTGGTTCATTTGCTCCTGAGAGATTGTAAGGGATTTGTTAGAAGTAATATCGTGAAAAATTAGGAAAGCTGGATATCAAGTAAGTTAAATAAGGGAAAGAACAGAAGGATGGTGTTTCTTTCTTGGTGGATTTACAGTGTTTTGTCTATTTACAGATCATCTTTGGAGGAGTGGAAGAGAAGCCAGAGAAAGGCACATCTTTGTTTGACCAAGCAGCAGGCATCTTCTCCTCATTAAACCGATTCATGAAAGTCATTTCAAGATAGACATGGTCTTTCACCTTTTCAGGAGCTACTGTTTAGTTATATTTGTCTACCCTGTCCTTAAAATACCTTGCAGTCTAGTTATCCTTAAATGTCATTTCAAGATAGATCTGGTTTGCCTGTTCAAATAGCAATCTATGATGGAAAATAGATGTTTTTTCTGCTTCAGCTTTTGGTGAATTACATGAAACCTATTAACTCTTGATCTGCAGTAAGCAAACTTTAGTCACTCCTGTATATAAGAAAAATGGCACTCTAGTGTTTCAGACAGCGTTCCTTGATGGCAAACTGCTCGTTTTCTGATGGCATTTCAGAAGCCTGTAAGAAACTAGGCAGCCATTAGATGTGTAAAATTGTAAATTCTGCTCGCTAACTTAGACGTCCTCGCGCTACATTCTTTGCCAAATGACAAGCATGAGTTGTTATAGCACTTCTAAGTAATTTCCAAACAGCCGTGGTGCAGATGATCAAAACCAATCTACATGTTTGGTGGAGACCTTCGGCTGTTGCTTGGGCTTTCGGTACCGATTGTTTTCAAATTTGGCCTTCACAATGAGAGAATAAAGCAAGTCTGCCTCTGCTGAAGTATCATATGGTGCACCAATGATGCTGCAAGACGAAGCATGTTTGCAAGTGATTGGTATAAGTAAAGAGCATATGAAAAAAATGAACTAATAGTGAAGCAAAGATCATTGCACTTTCTTACAACTCAATTCTAGTGATGACTGATAGGGTCTTCATTCAGATGAATCAGTTTATAAAGTTCTATGGAGCCAAAGCAAGCAAAAAGGGAAGTAGCATATGTTAGCTATATAAAAAAAAACAGATTCGATGCACCTATCAAGTAGCTCTTCCAGAATGATTCGCTGAGAAGGTGTAACAAAGTAAATACAACTCATGGGGCACTGGCCAACTGCACTCTGCACTTGATAATCTTTGCCATGTCCTAGGCAAAAGTAAAGTCAGATTCCAAACCCAACAATCAATAAGGAAGAAGTATTGAAATATTTGTGAGGGAACTACATGAATGGAACTTCTTAAGAAATCTAGAAAGCAAGGATATGCTGGAAATTAACATTTGCCAATATTCTACACGTAAGATTAGCCAACTGCTTACAAAATATGAAAGCTAGTAGAGGATGAGGTACCTTGAGAAGTTGCACGAGCAGTTCCTGTTAAAGAAGAAAACTCAAATGCATGAGGTGCTCTCTTAACACATGAATATGGACAGCCTGCAGAAAATCATAGAACAGAACCTCAGCACAAAAAAGCAGATTTTATGGTGTATAAGCTCAGGTTCAACAATGTCAGGTACTGCAGTGTGATTTTTAATCTGGCAGAACATATTGCTGCAAGTAGATTAAGACAGCTTGAGACATAACCTATCGGAAAAAGAATATTGACAACTTCACTCGATACCCCTTATTCATCAGAAAAATAAACTATCTGCAAATTAACATATCAAAGATGAAAAATTTTCTACTGCAACTTTTCTCTGCTAGTGATGCATCTGCGCTGCGTAAGTTCCCATGAATGATTCTTCTGTGATCAATTAAATTTCTTACTTTTAATCCTTGCCCCTTTCCACATGAGAGACAGATCCCTTTCAAATTCCCAAATCAAGTCTTCCAAGGTGGGTATGACATATTCCACATCAGGTCATGAGCCTTCCTCTTCCAAGAAACAACTCACTACCAATGAGTTGAGATCGTAGAGGACAGCCAGCTTATCGTCACATGAGTATCCAATGAGTTTCACTCAATTCTTGTGTGATGTCAATGCTTCCTTCATTAGCAATACGATTTCATCATGTACTCTAGCTGGATGCCCTTTCCAGCTTACTTTGAAAAAATGAAAAAACATCCCATGTCTTTAGGGTCACCTCTTTTATTTCTGTATCTTGCTGAATCCTTGCCCTGAACAATCTCCCAAACCAGGTTTTTTGAATATTGTTGTCCTTACTCAAACTTTCTGTCATTTCCTTTTAACTCAGAATGGCTATAGTGTTTCACATCGTCCAAATCCATTCCACAAATCGGCTCAGTACCAAAAAATTCATGTCTATGTTTCTCCAATCGTCAAAAGGCCTCGATAATTTAGGATCAGGATGAATACTATGACAGAATAATATGTTAGGACTGACTCAAGAATAAACAAACTAAAGTTAGACCAAAATAGGCGGTATAACCAACCATATAAAGATTAGGCGGTAGACATCAGCCATATAATAATTAGGCGGTAAAATCGATCATATAAAAAAAAGGGTTGTGACAACCCAATGAAGACAAATAACAAAAAATAAAAGACACCAAAATTTACGTGGTTCGGTCAAATTGACCTACGTCCACGGACGAGGGAGGAGCAATATTTCTACTACAAAGAAGAAATACAAAAACCATAGGAAAGTGGTTCTTAGGCCAAAATGGCACTTACAAAAGGTTTAGGAAATATTTCTAAACTCAAAACAAGAGAGCCTAAAATATTTGACTATAAATGGGCTAGATGACTCAAGAAACTAATAGCCCATATAACTCTCTTGAGTGGTGCAATTGATTCCTTCATAAACCCCTTCTATTTATAGGCTCTCCAACGAAGCCTTCCTGCTGTCTGCTGCGATGTGGGACGAAAGAATTATGCCACAGTCAAACATTGCGACCGTTGGAAAAATCAACAAATCTCCACCTTGGCATAATTTCTAGTCCTACCATCGACAATAGTAAAATTGCTCCACCTTATCCACATAAGCCCTAATGGGCCAAATCACACACAATGAACACCAATCAAATCCAAGCACTGCTTGAACTTGTAAACTGGAAGAGGTTTCGTAAACATGTTAGCAAGATTCTCCTTAGTATTAATCTTTCGAACAAGGACTTTCTCTTCAGCAATGATATCCCGGATAAAGTGATATTTCACATCAATATGTTTCGTCCTCTCATGATACATCTGATCTTTAGTCAAGTGTATGACACTTTGACTATCACAGTGAATAACAGTAACACCTTGATGTAGACTAAGCTCGCTAAACAAACTCTTCAACCACAAGGCTTCTTTGATTGCCTCGGTCACAGCCATATATTCTACTTATGTAGTAGACAAAGCTACGACAGGTTGTAGAGTAACTTTCCAACTAACAGCACAACCGCCAATGCAAAATACATAGCGTGAAAGTGATCTTCTCCTGTCAAGATCCCCAGCGTAGTTTGAGTCTACAAAACCAACCAAAGTATTATTATTTCTTCCAAACTCCAAACTTGCATTTGAAGTATCTCGCAAGTATCTGAGAATCCACTTCACAGCTTGCCAATGTGCTTTACCAGGGCACATTGGCAGGCTATTTGTTGATTTTTCCAACGGCCGCAATGTTTGACTGTGGCATAATTCTTTCGTCCCATATCGCAGCAAACAGCAGGAAGGCTTCGTTGGAGAGCCTATAAATAGAAGGGGTTTATGAAGGAATCAATTGCACCACTCAAGAGAGTTATATGGGCTATTAGTTTCTTGAGTCATCTAGTCCATTTATAGTCAAATATTTTAGGCTCTCTTGTTTTGAGTTTAGGAATATTTCCTAAACCTTTTGTAAGTGCCATTTTGGCTTAGAAACCACTTTCCTATGGCTTTTGTATTTCTTCTTCATAGTAGAAATATTGCTCCTCCCTCGTCCGTGGACGTAGGTCAATTTGACCAAACCACGTAAATTTTGGTATCTTTTATTTTTTGTTATTTGTCTTCATTGGGTTGCCACAACTCTTTTTTTTATATGGTCGGTTTTACCGCCTAATTATTATATGGCTGGTGTCTACCGCCTAATCTTTATATGATCGGTTATACCGCCTATTTTGATCTAACTTTAGTTTGTTTATTCTTGGGTCAGTCCTAACATAATATAAGGCCAAGTTTCAGGAAGGATTCCTGGGAGAGTTTAATGCATTTTCCCATTTATATAGATAGCACATATATACATAAGGCATATTTCTTAATTGGCTCAGAAAGGTTGATCTCTTGCAATCTATTTGCTGTTGCTGTTCCGGAAAATTTGAATGTTTTCCAAATTCATGTTTGAGTGCTCGACAGGATGAAAGTCCTCAAAAAAGATGGATTGCAGGAGTAAAGTTTGCTGAATGCAGAATCAAACATAGTATCCTGATCCTAGGGCCCGTTTGGAACCTTGAGTTTTTTGGGAGTTTGTCTAAAACTTTACTGTAGTGCACTGTAGAAGTTTTTGAAAAAATTTTGTAGAAGTTTTTGTAAGGTGAAAAACTTTTTTTTTCTCTTTCCCTTTCTTTTTCTTTTTCTTTTTCTTTTTCTTTCTTTCCTTTTTCTTTTCTTTCCTCTCTTTTTCTTCTTCTTCTTCTTCTCCTTCTTCTTCCCCGTTACCTCCGCCACCCCCAGCAGCAACTCCACCTCCCGTCGCCCCCCTCTGCCCCGCCTTTCCCCTCCCCCCGCCACCCCCTTCTGCCCCCTCTGCCCGCCACCCCCCTCTGCCCCCCCTTCCCTCTCTCCCCCCACCCTCCTCTGCCCGCCCCCCCCGCCCCTCTCTGCCCCGCCTTCCCCTCTCTCCCGCTGGCCCCCCTCTGCGCCAGCCCCCTCTGCCCCTTCCCCCTCCCCCGCCTTCCCTCTCTCCCCCGCCGTCCCCCTCTGCGTCGCCCCCCTCTGCCCCTCGCCGCCCCCCTCTGCGCCACTCCCCTTTGCGCCGGACGTAGAGAGAAAAAAAAAAGACAAGAGAGGATGATGGCAGGGGAGGAAGAGGGGGAGAGGGAAAAAAAGGGGGGAAAAAAAAGACCGGCACCGGAAATTGGTGACAGAGTCGGCAATGGAGGTGGTGGTGGGAGAGGAAGAAGTAGAAAATGGGAAGGGAATTTTTTTTTGTTGTGTTTTGGATATTTTAAGTGTGTAGGTTAAAAATTTTGATAAGTTTTTTGGGGTTCCTGTAGCAAAAGTTGTTAAAAAACTAGTTTTATACAAATTTGGTAAAAAACCAAGCTTCCAAACAGGGCCCTAGTTTTCGAGTTTACAAATAATACAATCGAAGATGAAATGAAAATGATAGGAAATAAAAGAAGAGAAGAGATCTTTTTTAATCGGTATCCTACTTTCTAGTTGGGTGTTCAAGAGAGAAATATGATGATTTTTGGACTTGCAGCTAACAGATAATTTTCTCTACTACAAGTTTTTCTAGGAAAAGCTAGCATCACAAGAATTTTTGTAGGCAAAGCAGACATTTCTCCCCACCTTGTTATTGGAAATTTTTTTTTTCAGTGTAATTTGCACACCAAAACAAAATATGTTTATCCAAGAAAAGGTCCAAGATACCTATTCTTAACACCAGGAGTTTCTTAATCTGTGCTAAATGTTATTGGCCAGTCAGATTTTCACGACTTTGGGGATCAAGGTTGGATCAAAAAGTTGTCTTTCCAAAGTTCTGGGCAATTAAAACGAGGGCATAATATACTTCAACCAACAGTTCATGGGTCTAAGTTAAACATATACTTAACTCAGTTATAGGAATTTTCCTATTTCAGGCAGTCTGCAGTCTGCACCAATGTTCTTGGATGAAGTACATAGTTTCTTTCACTGAAATTCAGTTCTAGGTAGCTAATGGACCCTATTTCTAACATTTCTGAAGATGTGAAGAAAACGGTACCTTTTCCAACACAAAGAACCTCATTAACAAATACATCAAATGCTTCACATTCTGGTTCATCGAATGGGTCCATACATTCCCTACAGATGATGCAATTACCAACCAGTGAATACTTTTCCATACATGTATTACAACTACCAAAGATTCTGAAAATACTATGTACTTAGATTACCTCTCAATAATTTCTGACCTGCTGCAGTTCGATAATATCTGGTCAAATATAGAAAAAGAGCAGTCAGATGTCTCATGCCAACAAATGCTAACATTTGGTACAAGATTTGCTAAGTCGTAGCTTTTGTCTAAGTGTTATGAAAATCACAAGTACTTAGCATTCAGAGAAGCGTAATTCAAGGTATTAAAACAACTAGTTGTACCTCATATGCTTTAATTACACGACGAATCATCATATCTGAGCTTCCCTTATCTTGTCTGACATCAGGATGATACTCTTTAACCTGTGTCCACAAAAGCCAGTATCATCGACATAATCAAACTGATCAAACCACAAGAACCCATGTTTCTGAAGAACCACAGAATCCAGAATGCTGAAAAAAACATGTCGTGAATCGATCAATTTTAGTCGGAAAACATGGCATACTTTGGCGCGAAAAGCAGCCTTGAGTTCGGCTGGAGTACAATCAGGGGCTAAACCAAGAACATCATAAGCCAAAGAAGTGGATAGATGTTCATCATCTTTACGGTAACAATTCAATCTGAATGAACAAGAAGAAAATGAAGAAAGAAAAGGAAGTGAAGTTTTCAAGGTTGGAGGGGTAAGAGCAGATGGAAATGAGCAGGTGGAGGGAGAATTACGACGGTTAACAATAATATCCTTAACTGTTTCTTGAAATTTTGATAAATTTCCAACTGCATTTTGGTTGCAGAATAATGAACTTTCCATTGGCTTTCTTGTACAGAATTTGGTTATGTCAATTACTCACGCGGTCTAGTATATGGATCAATTTGCAGTTTATGTTAGTAGAAGGTAATTTTGGTTCAGAAAAGTAGCTGAACTGTTATTGTGTGTTTCAAACTATGGCCATGTCATTCTTGTCTTGATGATATTTTGTGGACCCCATTGCCTTTCAATGGAATATCCTATTTAAAAGGATCGAATGTTATCTCCAATATTTCTTTTTAAGATCTCTTCCTTTTTCTTTTGTCATTTTCTTGGCAGACTGAAACTCATTGCTACGAAATACCAAATTAGTAAACACAAGTTGGTTCAGTTGACAAGAACAAATCACTTTTTTCACAAAAAATCGTGCGTTCAAATCTCACTGATGTGAGGGCAGTGTTGGTAGGCGATCTGTAAGAACCTCTGTAAGTAACCTATGGTTTCGAATGCATGCTCTTACCTATAGTAGTAATCGAAACCGGGCTCATCCAAAAAATTTTTCATAAAAAAAAACAAATTACCAAATTACCAACGAGGCAAGACATTAAGAAAATAAAGCATTGCATGATTTAATGTCAAGTAGATGTGTCAAAATGGGTGACTTAGACGGATTTGGATTGGTTAAAATGGGTAATGGATATAAGCGAGTCAACACATTTATACCCGTTTAATTAGATAGATATAAATGAGTAAGTCAAAAAATGAATTGGGTAATTCAATTACTCACTTATAACCCATTTGTTTTAACTTTTTATAAACTTATTTAAATTCATTTTTGCAAACTAAATTATCAATTTATACCACCTAGGGGTGGGTAAAATTATTTGCTAACCGAAAAATCCGTCATATCCGATCCGAAAATTAGGATATCCAATTTTTATTATTTGATTGGGTCAAAAGAGGGTCGGGTACCCGTTAAGATGCGGGGCGGGTTAGGATAACATAATTAAAAACCCGCGGGTACCCGATCCGCCCCGCATATATATATTTTTTAGTTTTATTTTTATACACATACTATAAAATAATAATTTAGAACTAAATAAGTAATTTTATTGAACAAATTGTATTACAAATATGAGAGACTATAGTTTATTTACAAGATTCATTTGTAGAGGTCATTAACTTATATTTTATAAAAAAAAGTTTAATTAATGTGAAACATATATACTAAAAATTGTGCTACTTATTTCAAATTTTTATTGATTTTGAATTCTTTTAATTTTTTTCCTTTATCTTATATTCTCTTCACATGCTTGTTTCTGGGTGGAAAACCTTTTTTTAGAAAAAAATTTATTAAATCTTAGATGAATGTGTAAAATATAAAATTGAATTGGTATAAATCATTTTTTTAAAAAAATTAAATGATAAATGGGGCGGGACGGGTACCCGCTGACCCGACCCTATCTCAGCGGGTACCCTATAATCGGATACCCGCTGATATGCGGGGCGGGTAAGGGTCAGAAAATGACTGACCCGCAAGATACGGGTCGGGTTAGCTAAATGGTGAATGGGACGGGTACCCAACCCGTACCCACCCCTAAATTACCACCATTTGCACCCACCATTAGTTTTAAATATTTACTTATAATGCTCAATAAGCTTAATTACCAATTTTTTTTCCATTCGTACTCTATATTGCAAAATTACATACTATTTAATAATTAAACAATAAGAATATAAAAATTTGAACTAAGTACTATAAAAATTAACATAAAAAATTAATCCAAAATTTGAATCCCTAACATTTTTTCATGTGTAAATTTAAATTTTTATTTTGAAAAAGGTAGGGAAAAAAGCTAAAAGTTGTCATAAATTGGTAATGCTAAAAAATGAGCAAGTTAACAAACTAAGAGAAAATAAAATGATAAGATAAAACCAATAAATAATAATAATAATAATGAAACAAAAGTAGTTAACATAATGACAAAATGAAAATTTTGAAAAAAAAAAGGTGAGGAAAGAGAGGAAGTTTGGGGAAAAATAATTCTAAATGGGTTAATTGAATTTGATGGGTTATCCAATAATACCCATTTAATAATATTGGGTATTATTGGGTAATTTATTTATACACATATACAAAAACTTAAGATACCCATACGGGTATGGGTAAATTTAGTTAAATGAGTTTGTTTGACACCTATAATGTCAAGTTGTTTTGTGGACTGTAACTGATACAAGCAATCGTATGCTTCCACATGTGGTAAATTGAAAGGAATTCCACCTAATTAATCCTACCTGAATTGTAAGACTGGACTTTGGAATTGGACTGCAAAGTGGAGGGAATATCCAAAGATTTAATTGAAAAGAGAAACTTTTGATTTTAGCCGTTAGATACCGCAAGTTGTGAAAAGGGTGGGGGGGGGGGGGGGGGGGGAAGTAAAACAAGAAAAGCATGAAGAATATTTAACCATAGGGAGCATACCAAGAATTTGTCCTCGAAATAATAATAATGTATAAAGCGAGAAAATTACTATTAACCCCAAGTCGAGGTCATGTGAATAAACACCCATTGAACCAAAAGTTTCATACTTAATGAAAGAGCTATTAATCAAGATATGTTAGATAAATAAGATTGGAGCAAAGGGTTATCGTGGTTTGGTTTGGAATTAAGAACTAATTAGAATCTACTGACCAAGAATCGATGAACTAGAATAAAAACCACAAAATAGAACTAAAATCGGAACCGAGAAAGTTAGTAATCGTAGATAAAGATTTGTAGTTTCGATTCTTAGGAAAAAGAATCAGAACTAAAACCGCACGATTCGATTTTGGTTAGAACTATTATTTAAAAATTCAAAATGATAGGGTTACTTGGGACATTGAGAAGAAGTATTTGAGATTTTTTTTTCATAATTCATTTTAATTTCAATGAGAAAATCATATGCCTTTTCTTTTATTTAAAATTTTCAGTAAAATTCAATAATGTGATGGTTTTTTTTATTATAAAATGTACATCACATTTTCATGATGGATAATATATAAATCAAAATCTTAATTCTCTTCTATATTTATTTGTCTTCAGTTTTATCTTTATTCAAATTCATTGTTGTATTAATTTAGCATCAATTTTAGAATGGTATGCAACTAAGGTCCTGTTTAATAATTCAATTCAGCACTTAAATTTAATGGATTCAGATCTTAACACATTCAAACCGTTTGATAATAAAAAATTGAACATTTGAATTAATTAGGTAGTACTGAATTTTTTAGACAAAATTTGTTTCCAAAATTAAGTAATAAGTTATTCACTCATCACTGAATGTGATATACGCTCAAATGTATTATATTTAATACTTAATAATTTAGCATCAATTTTTTTTAATAACCAAAATCAATGATCACAGAACTATAATCGGATAGTTTTAGAACCGTGGAAGGGATAAAAACACCCTCGCGTCAAGTAGTAATTATTTTGCTAGGGCCCAATCCTATGAGTTAATGCGTTACCGCTTACCATTCAATGCCTTGCTTGCTTCACCACAGTAGTATTACCAAACATGTGCAAATTGTAAATTTGTAACAATGAACCAAGCAATAGAGATCTTTTATAAAAAAAAAAAAAAAAAAAAAAACCAATAGAGAAAGCTAAAATTGCAAGCGAAGTATTTAGATAACAACATAAAATTGGTACTAGTAATCTGGTCACGTCAGTTGAAGGCATCCATCCCATCCCTTCCCCAGGAAAAATACAAAAGCTCATTGGATTGGGTCTATTCGAGTTTTCTGATTCTTTGCCCCTTTTTTTTAATACCCCTTCAGCATCCAGCCATCGATTAATTTTATTTACGTCTTCCCCCAAAGACAAAAGAGAATACTAGTACGTAAATCATCATCAATACATTAGAAGTGTTAAAAACCTCATGCAACAGCAGTTTGAGATTCTCAAAATCTCGTAAATTCAAGCCCAGAAATGAGAAAATAAACAAAAAAGTTTGAGTTTTTCTTGCTTTTCTATCTGGCCCTTGCATTCTCCGTCTGCGAAACTCTTGTTTTGCTTGCAATGACGAGTCAGTAGCAGAGAGGGAAAACGGGATAAAAGAAAGGGCGGAAGGAATTGAGGAAGCCCTTTTTAGCAAGACCCCTTTTGAATTTTGGTTAATAAACATGGGAGGTATGGTTTATTGATTTTGACTTGTAGTTTTTTGGCTGTTTGTTCGTGGATTTTTGTGTTGTTTTTGGTGTTTTGGCAATTGGGTTTTGCTTGTTTTTGATTGATTCAATTTGAACTTCTGTTAATTTTGGATTTTTGGCTTTTCTTTTGTGTTCTTTATGATGGAGGAAAGTCATGTGCATGACGCCTAATTGTGTGCTCATATACATTGCAATGACATTTTATTTCTCGCTAATTCTGGTAAAGATTTCTGGGTTTTTAAGTTTTAATAGTGCTGTCTGTGATCATCTGAAATGTTTTCAGATTTGTTTTTCGGCTTTCTCTTAGCTTCATGCTTTAGATCTTGTAATTTTACAGGTGCAGAATATATAGATGCAATTCTGCTCGTTTAGTGATTCTTCATATGTTACCATTATGAGAATTTTGGGCAATTTTGGTCAAGTTTGTTAAGTTTGGATTGAACTTGGTCTGGACAAATGGAGAAAATTTTGCTAGAGCCATGTCAAATTTGCATATGTAAAAATAAAATGGAATCTTCTTTCGGTGCAAAATTTTTCCTTTCACAAATCCTTCATGCTTTAGGAGTTTCACTCGTGTGATTTGTACGTTCTAGCTTATCATATCAGAGTTTGTAAGAGAAGATGGATACTTTGTTTCTAGCCTTGGTTGTACAAGGTTTTGCTTCTGCTGATATTGTAGCTATATCAGTTTTCTCCTGTATAGGCTTGTTGCAAGCTCATTTTGGGATTTTAGTGGTCTACAACTGCCTAATAAGTAGCCAGAGGGGCCTCAAATTATGGCAGTGGTTTCATGTTTTTGGGTTCTCATAGTAGTCTGGATGTCATGGAAATGGTGACTCCTGAAGAACATTTGAGCTCTTTAACCATTGTCATCAAAGCTGATGATATTTTGAATTTTCTGATGGTTTGCTTCTTCTTTTGATGTTCTGGAACCTGTAAAGAGCACTCTGAAGATGATAAAGTTATTCCAGAAATGAACAAGAAGAG